AGGAGGCAGCCATAGCTAGAGGCTGGGAGCTTCTTGCCCCACCTTCTGTGCTGTGCTGCAGGCTGTGAGAAAGCCGTGGCTTTGAGGTTGCTGCTAGTTTTCTAGGGAGTTGCGGCGGAAGTGCTGCCGAATTTTTGCGGCAGCAGCACCTGCTTTCTTGGCGGAACAGCGAAAGCGCTGCCGAAATTGTGCGGCGGCAGCGCTGGTATTCTTGGAGGAACAGCGAAAGGGCTGCCGAAATTGTGCGGTGGCAGCGCCGGTATTCTTGGCGGAACGGTGGAAGCGCTGCCGAATTCTTGCGGCGGCAGCACTGATTTTCTTGGCGGTACGGCGAGGGCGCTGCCGGATTTTGTGGCAACAACATTTTGCACAGGACTGCGAGAAGGGGGATTGGACGTTGCCGCAGGGATGGTACCGCCGAGGTGGAAGTGCATTTTGGAATAGAAAGGATGTGGCGGTCGGATTGTTAAGGACGTAGTGGCACGCGGCACTTGTAAGAATTGTCGAGGCCGTTGTTATTTTTTTGTGGCATACCGAGTAAGCGGGGATTGGGTCCAGGACCACCAAGTATTGCGGCAGGCAGGTGGTGACCTGACTTGGTAATTGGTGGGTTGAGTTGGCGCTGTCTTTGCTGGAAGGTGTGACATTGAGGCTGTGGGATTTGAGAATGGGACACTCTCCTCAGCGGCGAGCTCTCTTCTGTGTTGGTGAGCGACGCTTGAGTTAGTGGTAACGTTTGAAGGAGGGTATGACTCGTCTTTGTGAGCGGCCACAATGAGAGTGGTGCGACCGAATTTTTTGTAAAGATATTTGGCTTTCTTGAGCGAACCCTCATAAAAATCACTCAAGGTCAGTGTGACTCAGCTCCTTTGCACACCCGCGTGAACCCACACATTGCATGACCTTGCTTTGAATTCAGGGGAAAAGGTGGAGTAAGAGTGTGATGTCATGCGTGTGAAGAAAGGGCTGACTTGTTTTGGGGATGGATGAACCATTGGATTGTTTTCTTTCTTGATTATGCAGGTAGGTTGGAAGATGTATGTGAGAAGGAATCAGCACTGTTTGCTCGAGATAATAATGGGGGTGTTTGCCTCTCTCCCACTCAACCCGAATGCATGTGACAAAAAGGAGGAGGACCAAAAATAATAATGGAAGTGCGAATGGACGGGTGACGAAAGAATGAAGGCCGTGCAAAAATTAAAAGAAAAAAAGAAAAGGGAACACCTTAGTATCTTCCCAAGGATTTCCCCATTCTATCCCGAACGACCACTATCCTTCTATGCCCGTCCAAAATATCTTAATTCTTACGCTTCTCAATCCGTCTAAGTCGTCCCTTAGCCGAGAAGGCATAGAGCGGTCATCTGCACCCAGGGTCTAGGCTTCTTTTCTCTAGGACGCATCCGAGGCGGGGGTTCGTTGCCTTAGGGGCCGGCCCTGTTATCGACTCGGAGCGGACCGCTCGTGCGGGGGGATACCATGCTGTTGCGGTGGAGTCAGCCCAACTTCTGAGTCCTCAACAGTGTGTTCGGGCAAGGGGGAGGGGTATTCCAAACTACTTCCTAGAGGGTAGGGTGTCTTGAAGCTAGGGGCAGTCGCCTCCTCGTGCTTTCAGGAAAAGGGGAGGCCGAATCTAGTACCCTGTTGGGTGGCCGCCTTAGGAGCCACCAATGCGTGGGACGGCTGGCGTCATAAGAAGCGCGGCCCGTGGTTCAACTAGTGTTAAAAGAAGTGCAAATAGACACTACTTTCGCGGTCGGACCGTGACATAAGAATCACGGCCCGAAAGGGGGAGTGAAGATTGAACATGGAAGTGGGTATGTCTGAATTATTTTCACAAAGTTACCGCTTCGTCATCCAGATGCTTGCGGAGACAGTGATTCTCCGATTGTTCAGCACACGCGAGGCGGCGGTTAATTGGTTAGCGGTGCCGACACGATCCCGTGCAGGCATGGTACGGAAAGGAAGGCTGGTGTACAACCCACTTGAGGTCTACTCGGAACGGGACGTGCCACAATTCTGGAACGGGAGCTTGAGGAGACCGCCACGGAGTTATATCTTGTTGGTCGAACCAGGCCAGAGTATTGTGCGATATGATTTTGCGCCTCCTAATCCATCACGAGATTATGGAGACATGATCCTAGTTGTGGTTCACGAGGACTGTCCGGGAGTAGAGAACATTCCTGAGGTTAGAGGGATGTTCCTCCATATTGTACTCCATTTGAACAATTTGCAAGGTCCGTTCGGCCTCCTTCATCACGTGAGACGAGTCCAAGCGAATAGATTTAATGTCATTCGCTCGGAACGTTTCGACGTCACTGCGTTTTATGACGAGGCTTGCGAGATTTATGAGTACCTCTTCTAACAGTTGGCTTCTTCGGTGTGCAGATGTTTAGCGGACGGCGGGACCTCACTCGGGCCATATATCTACTGGTTCGCGACACTACGGACGAGGAACTGATCCGGCGAGCAGAGCGATTATTACAAGTTCGGGATGGAGCGTCCACGCGGTGGATTGGTTTTATCGGCCTGCTCAGTGGTGGGCAGGGATTTTTTCCTAACTCGCGCGAGGATGTTCGCGCCAATGTGGCCTGACTTCCGGACGAAGTTCATGGATACACCTTGTACTTCCATCGCGCAAGCGACCTCCAATGCCTTTCTCAGGTCATTGTGAGCGTCAAAATTACCCTATCGGGGGAGCGCTATGGCGTCGTCCGGATTAAGGACACCACGACCACACACCTGTTTCGGATGCCTCAGCCGTTCCGCGCCATAGTCTAGAAGCTCGCCTCACGGATGGTTTCTCTCTATGATACACGGAAGGTTGGAGTCTCGTCAGGTGGACGTGTCTCCACCTTGACTTTTGACGACGAGGAGCTTACGCGGCTCGACTGCATAGAGGTTGAGGCCCGTGAGGGCCGACAGGTTTATCCCGGCGAAGCGCACCCTCTCGAATCAGGTGCTACGACGAGTTGTCCTTATAGTAGGGTCACGTCTATGTGACTCTACAGGGGTAATAATAACAAAAAAAAACACAACAATCTTGTGTAGGTAGGCCAACCAGATGGATAGTATCTGGATTACCCGATGATAGCACTATCATGCTTATGCATTGAGGGGTAATCGATCGCTGGAAAATGAGCCGAGCAAAATGAAAACCGAACACCTGAGAAGGTGTTGACCAAAAGGGCGAGGGCAAAGTATCAGGAAATGAAACATCTCCATGCCAAGTATCTGGTGTTGGGGATGGGTACTTCGTCATTCGTGGAACGGAGATAGTAATTATTGCCTAGGAGGACAAATCGACCGACAGAATTGTCAGTCGCTCCTCCGAATAGATGTATGCGGCAAGGCAATATGGTCGAACCGGGAGTTCAAACATCGACCAGGAGCCAGATCACTTGTTGATCTGCATGGTACCGGCGGTATTTATTTGTAAAAGCTGTGTGCGACGGATCTCCTGTTTTCGGACGGCAGTACAACTGCCTCGTCGGTCATGTAAGCAAGAAATGATAACCTTGGCATACCATTTCATCAAGTCGAAATGTTGTTTATGTATTTTATTCATGTTATGAGTAGGAGATTATAAAGGGACTAGGATCATATGTTGGGTTTCACGTTTGGTCGAGGCCGTCCTAGTCGACCGACGCTCGTTCGTACCGAGGAGATCAGCGCCCTCGGGGACGGACAATGTTCGGGTCCACTTGGCGTTAACCAAGCGCACCTATACTCCAGCGAGCGAGCAAATGCCCTCGGCTGACCTACCTCTGCGATTGCATGTAAAAGATTTCGCACGTGGGTCGGTAGATCGGTAGGGATACACCCCTGAGGGTGGTGACAGCCCCTCAGGGAAAGCAAGTTGTGCCCCGCGAAAACCTATCCTGTCGTAGGGGACCGAGGGATGTATAGCTGGCGCACCCGTCTAGAGCGGCGAAGGGACGATGCAACCTCGTCCGTCGCGGTGGTTCGCGGGATTATTTATGCAATGTCCTAAGTTGTCTCTTGATTTTGTTTCAACTCTTGCGTGACATAGCCGGGAGGGCCCTCGTTCACACGGGGGCCGATGCGCTCGACAGGTGGCGCCTTTGCCGGGGATGACGGCAAACTACCGCTGTCCCTGGTGGAACGACACTCGCGGAAAGGATGATTATAGCGATTTTAAGTGCTGTGTGTTGTTTGTTTGGATTGAAAGTAGTCAGTGGTTATCAATGTTTGGGGAAAGAAAAGAAGGCAAGATTTGAAGCGAATTGTTGGAATCTATTTGACACTTGGACGTGTGGGTTTGTCGTGTTGATTCTCTCAAGATGACGGGAGGAAGTGCTGATCCCGCAAATAGTAATGCATGGGATCGTCGCAACGTCATCTTGGAACTCGCACGAGCCATTCGGGAAGCCGACAATCAAAAGGCACAGTTGCCAAAAGTTCAAGTTCCCCTCTTCGATGGCACCAATGCCTCAGCATGGGCGGACAAGTTTGAACAATTGGGCAGTTGTTGTGAATGGATGAGTGAAAAGATGTTTCAAATGGTGAAGCGATATTGTATGGTCGAATACAAAGAAGAAGTGTCGGAGTTGGTGCAAGCCTCGCGCGACTGGCTGGACTTCAAAGCCAAATTATTGGACAAGTACCAACTGGGGGATCAACTGCTCGACCTGGCGGACTTACGAAAAGTCGGTCATCGGAAATTTGGTACGGCCAAGCAGTTTCTCACGGAATTTGAACGAGTCGCGCGCTTAGTGCATAATCTTCCTGATAAGGATCGGTGCCTTATCTTCCTGATAAGGATCGGTGGCTTATCTTCCTCGAGAACTTTTCGGTAGTTGAGCAGCGGGAATTGATGAAGGATATAACTGGTCGATACGACTGGCCGAAGATCAAGGAGAATTTGTTGGCGGGAAGCTTCGACCAGATGCTTTACCGTCTCCTGAAGCAGCAAAAAGAGGACCGCGAGAAGGAAGGGGTAAGCGCAGACAAGGACCAAGCCGTTTACAAGACCCTGACTGACATGCGGAACATGATGGCTGACATGAAGGAGGAAAGGTTAAAGCTATAAGTGATGATGGTCCAGACGAAAGGGGGGGAAAGGAAGGGAAAAACACCCGTTGTGGAGGAAGTGAGTAGTAGCAGCAGTGAAGAGGAAGACGAGGAGGAAGTGGAGCCCCCTCGAAAATTGACTAAAGCGGAGCGGAAGGCCCTGAATCAGATACGAGGGGGGCAGGGCACTAGTAAAAAGCAGCGGAAGAATAATGGAGGAGGTGGACAAGGAAGCAACCAGGAACAGGCGGCTCAAACCCCTCCTCAGCAGCCCCAGGCTCAGGCAAGAAGCCGAGGCCGAGGTCGAGGTAGAGGCCAAGGCGCTGGGGGAGGCCAAGGAAATGGGGGCGGCCGAGGCAATTGGCAGAATTGGTTTTGCAAGTACTGCGGACAAGATGGGCATGGGATACGGTCTTGTCAGACCGTTACCAAAGATGAAAACGATAAGGTTATATATACGAATATCAGAGGCGAGGTCTACGACTTCGAAGGGAACCTCATCGATCCTAATGTGGAGGGAGGAATGAGAAAGGAAGCCTTCCGACGTATGGGGCGAGATCTCCCAATAACTTTTCGACTGGCTTCCCCGGAAGAAGTCGAACAGATTGAGTTGGAAGCGGCGATGGAGTCATTAACAATTGAAGATGTCAAGGCCGCAGATGAAGGGTTGAGCAAAGAGCAGGAAGACATACTGCAGCGAGCTCAAACAGTGGTCAGAAAAATGACTCAATGCAGGGAAGCTTTCGTTCAAATATGTGTCGACAGGAATGAAGAGTGGTCCGGGCTTCCCCAAGTTTTTCTGTTTGGAGGATGGGACAAAGACGGCCAAGGAGGTCTTACTGATGTTACCGCATCGCAGCCTAGATCGCCGTCGGCAGGGCGTCTGATGGCCACCACGATCTTGTCCCGTCCTGCTTTCAAGCGACCTGCCACTGCTAGCCTCCCACAAACTCGGAGGGCTCGGAAGCCGCCACGGCCAAGGGCAACGCCGGAAGAAGGGCCAAGTCAACCTCGAGAAACCGAGACAATTCCGATTGAAAAAAACGATAGCGAGGAGGACGAATTGTTGCGGGCAGAGGATGAGCGGCAGATCAAACAACGGACCATGGAGAGGGAGCCAAAAACGGGCAAGACCGATGTTGGGGAAGGAGAGTTGAAAAAGAAGAAGCAAGTCTACACAATTCCAGTAGAGCAAGGGCTGGATATTGAGCAAATTGTGGACAGGATTTTAAAAAGCCAGCGCGATTTGTTCATGCTCAAGGAGTTCTTGGCCGCGTCACCCAAAATCCGAGAGGAGTTCAGACATCGATTGTCAAGAAAAAATGTGATGACGGTTAAGATGAGTGATATCTTTCCTCAAGAGATTAGTTGGGCTCCGCCTGAGACAAAAATGGACTGGCACTGTGTAGCAACTGGGTTGTTGAAGGTGCAAGTTGGGCCATGCGAATATTCGGCGCTCATCGACGATGGGGCTGAAATGAACATTATACGTGAAAGAGAAGCCATGGGGGCATGAGTAAACATCAATCGAGCGGATACTGGATTTCTGGTGGGTGCAAGTGGGATAACTCCCTTTTGCGGAACGGCGAGTGACGTGACGATACAAGTTGGTAAAGTCAAAGTCCGTTCGTACTTCTACGTGCTACCCAGGGTTGAGCATGCTGTGTTGCTGGGCAGAGCTTTCCTATGTCGATCAGAATCCATCATCTTTAACAAGCATGATGGTACTATGATCGTGGTTTTATGTGACCCCGTATGTGGCTATTACGAGGTGCTGAAGTGTGAGAACACAGGACCAACTAACTCAAGGAACCGACTCAATCCGGGGTCCTACTCCTTCACGGAATCCGAAAGACTCAGGAGGGAGAAGGAATCCCTCGGAGAAGAGAGCGATCCCCATGAATTTTCTCTTGCTCTGCCCAACATCTCTCAAGCGATCGAGTTCGTTGCGACAGACTCGTCCGTGGACCCCAAGTTGGTCCAAACGCTGACAGAGATTGTGGCAGGAGAAGGCGAGACTGGTAGGATGTATCTTACCTATCGACCCGAAAGGTCTTCGGAAGGTGATGTATTGACGGAACCAGCAACCAAGCAAGGGCCTTTTTTAGAGGTGGACGACTTGGAGTTGGAGTGAAACGTAAGTACAAGAGAGTAGGCGAGAAAGCTCGGTCAGTGCCCGTCCTGATCACGCAACAAGAAGAAGTGTATTATAAAGAAGAAAGAGAATGGATCAGGATGAGGAAGGAAAAGAGTATGAAGGCGCCATGTCGGTAGACGAAGGAGAGGATTAAGAATATGATCATTGGAGAGGAAGGGTCTCTTACTGAAAAGGAGGTGGACTTCGTTGTTAGCGTCATGAAAAAAAATAATTTGGCTTATGCCTTTGATGATGATGAGCGAGGGAGGCTTGACGTTGACATGATTCCAATGATCAGGATTCATACGGTACCTCACGAGCCGTGGAATATACGAGGCCCGCGTTATCCGAATCCGGATGATCATCGTAGAGTTGTCGAATATCTGGACGGTAAAATTCGGACAAAGGTCGCAGATTACTCGTATGGACCATATGCGTCCCCTTGGTTTTGTTTCATCAAGCCAAGTGGCGTATTGCGATGGGTGCAGAACTTGCAGAAGCTGAACTCAGTGACGGTTCGTGATGGCGGAGGACTTCCACAAGCCGATCAGTTGTCTGAGTCGTGCGCAGGCGGACTTATCATCACTCTCATTGACTTGTACTCAGGATACGATCAATTCCCTCTCTATACGGCAGACAGGCCGATGACGGCCATGCATACGCCGAGGGGATTAATTCATATGTGTGCGGCGCCTCAAGGATGGACGAACGCCGTAGCGATTGTTCAAGGATATATGATGAGATTCATGCAGCCGCTTTGTCCGGACGTGACATCACCTTATATCGATAACTTGGCCATTCCTGGGCCATGTGTCAAGGACGAGACGGAGGTGCTGCCAGGCGTTCGAAAGTTTGTTTTGGAGCACGTTCGTAACGTAGAGAAGGTCCTGTCCAAGTTAAAGGAGTACAACCTCACCGCCAGCGGTGTCAAATCTCGGCATTGTATGCGTGAGGCGAGTATCTTGGGCTTCTTGTGCGATGAGAAAGGTCGTCGGCCAGATTCCAAGAAGACAAACAAGATCCCGGAATGGCCGACTCCGCTTAAGTCCATACTGACGTGCGCAGTTTCTTGGGGACTTGCGGATTCTGGCGTATCTTCATTCGCAAGTTCGTAGCAAGGGTGGAGCACCTACGGAAGTTGGTGCGTAAAAAACAGGAATGGGAATGGGGTCCAAAGCAGTAGGCGGCGGTGGAAGATATCAAGGTACAATTCCGAGAAGGAGGATTGATCCTGGGGGTTCCGTGCTTTCACAATGACCCGAATCGGGCCTTCGTGGTTGAAACGGATGCAGGCCCCACAGCATTGGGTGGTGTCCTTATCCAAAAGGATGGAGAAGGGCGAGAAAGTCCATTGAGATTTGAAAGTCGAACGCTGAATGAGGCAGAAAGGAGATATTCCCAATTTAAGAAGGAAACCCTTGTAGTGCTTCATTGCCTCAGAATCTTCCGTAACTACGTGTTTGGAAGACGGTTCGTCCTGCGGGTTGATCCGACTGCCTTGGCGCAGTCACTGGAAAATTATTCCCCATCGGATCCAACTATCGCTCGATGGTTGATTTATATCTGGATGTTCAATTTCGAGATCGAACATATTGCGGGGACGCAAAATCGAGTCGATGGATTGAGTCGGATCGAGTGGGACTCCTCGAAAGATCGGGAAGAAGACTCCGTTTCTGTGGATAGATTTCTGGAAACAGACGAGCAGCATTTGAGTATCAATGTTTCGGAGTATATTAGCAATGCTTCGTCCCGACCTGGGAAGTCTATCTGAAGTTCTCCGAGTTGTTATCAGAAGCGTTCATAACTTGTAATGAGAGAACCCTTTACTGAGGAGGATCCCTGGGGCGAACGGTCCGCGGAACAAATGATGAGGTTGGCATTGTCTGACCCAGTACAACTTTCGGAAGAACCTCTTACGATTGAAGGGGGACATGAGCAAGGCGACGAAGTCCTTAGGATCTCTGGGGGGATGGTATTCCTGGTTAATTCGTTGATACAGGAAGATCGCGGCAAGTTAATGTTGGAAGAAGGGGAAGGCAGTGAGATCAAAGAAGCCTTTCGTGGGGAGGAATATGATGGGATTTATAAGAAGATTGGGCTTTGGCTAAATGGGGATCTAAACGAGACAGAGATAGAGCCAGAAATAAGAGAGAAGGCAAAGGACTTTGTCATTCGACAGGGGCATCTTTTCAAGAAGTTAGGCGATGGAATGCCTAAGAGAGTGGTGTGTGGGGTTCCCAAACAATTGGATGTGGTTGCGGCTCTACATGATGGAGTGGCAGGTGGACATCGATCCGCACGAGTGACATTAAGAAAGATCCAACATCTCTATTTTTGGGATGGTGTGGGTAAGATGGTAGCGGAGTTCTGCAGCTCTTGCATTCCTTGTCAGAAACGTTCAAATCTCCGTTATGCTGAGCCACTTAATCCACGATATCTGGTTGAGCCAGGGGCGGTTGTGCACCTCGACCTGGTCGTTATGTCACCCGGGCTTAATGGGTACAGATACATTTTTAACGCAAGAGATAATCTTACTGGGTTTGTTGATGGGCGTGCAATCCGTGAACGAACCGGGAAGATCCTGGCAGAATGTATCGAAGAGTTTTACCTTCGGTATCCATTCGTTCGGGAATTTGTGATGGATCGAGGCGGTGAATTTCGGGCAGAAGAGGTTCAGGCTCTCCTGAAAAGGCTGGGAGTGAACTATAGTTATACTACTAGAGCACACCCCCAGGCTAATGCTCCGGTTGAACGTGGTCACGCCACCTTGACTAACTTGTTAGCAAAATGGTGTGCTGGCAAGCCGTCGACATGGCCCGTCTATCTCAGAGCTGCCATATTTGTTGAAAATATAACCGTAAAACGAACTACTGGGCATGATCCTGTTACGTTATGGTTTGGACGACATGGTACATTCCCAATTGAGAGTTTCCTGACCACATGGCAAAAACAGGATATGAAAGTCGTGCTTTCTACAGAAGAATTGTTGGACCTGAGGGTCAGACAGATCAAAGCTATTGAGGAAAGAGTTGTAGAGACCGCTGCGTCAACTGCCGATAGCAGACGGACGGACAAAGTTAGATGGGATAAGCAACCCCGAGTTAGGAAGGAACCGTTGGAAGTGGGGGATATTGTCCTCCTCTATGACTCTTCTTTTGAAAAACAGTGGTCGAGGAAATTAGATAATCGATGGATGGGGCCGTATCGTATTATTAAGAAAACAGACCATGGAGCATATGAGATTGAGGAGATGGATGGAGCACGTGGGCGAGATTGGGTTTCAGGCTCACGCTTGAAGAAGTTTGTTCATAGGGACTAAATAATGCCTTACTTTTCTTAACAGACATTGATACCACTGGCTTACTTGATTTTATGATTAAGTATTTCTCGAGCAAGATAATTGATGTGCATAATATTTTTTCAAACCTTGTAAAAATGATTCTCTGAGCATGCATTTCTTTTACTTCTTATGTTGAGTGTGTTTTGCTTGTGAAGGATGGGTGTGGATCATTTGCACAAAGTTATGACTTAACGTGTAACATGTGGCTTCCTGAACGATAAGTGTTCGTTCTGTAGGCACATGGTTTAATAAATATAATAAGTTTATAGGTAATACCTAGTCTTTATTGTGTCTTGATATTCCTGAAAGATGTGAGCCTTGTAGGTGATAGTGAGGCTCGTGCCGGAACTTGGTTCCTGGTCCACAACGAGATGATGTCATTTTCCTTGAAAAAGGGCGATGGCTACTCTATCACCGAAAAGGAGGATGGTGTCGTAATCTTGTTGAGACCTCGCCTATGGTGGGGAGCGATCGCTGCTTATCACAGGGATGGGATTGGTCGTCTATCCTTGTGGTATGCAGGGTCGCCGCGTCCTTATGATCCTCCTCTGACTAACTTGCACTATATGGATGAGGTTGTCTCGACCTGTAGACGTGGCATTAACAGAGTTGCGATACTGGAATCGGAGGGAATGTGGTGAGGCTCGAATCTAAAGCGGGGCTTGATGTCGAGATGTTATCCTTTGTGGAGGATTATACCACTCTTCGATGCAGTCACATAGAATTCGGGGATACTAAGACATAATAATCGTAGGTATTTGTAAAATTGCACAATCGGATGGGTTATGAAACTCGGGTAAATAACTTAAATAATGGGTTCTTTTATTGGATGACTAGTTCGGATTATGTCTGAACGATTATCATAGGTTGGGTTATAAAGACCTGTCAGGGGTTATTCCTGACTCATTCTGGGAATTAGTTGAAGGTTAATATGGGTCTTCCAGAAGGGATGGTGGAAAACCGGAGCCTTGCTATTATTATCCCCGACAACCGTGACTGTAGAATAGTACGAGTATCCTTGTGTTACGTGGGAGGTCCAGGTTAAACTCCTGGCAACACGTGAGTGTGTTGAAGTGTTGTGGATGCATCCCCATGGACATGAGAGACCCGGGTTAAA